ATCTCTCAGTTCCATACTTTCCAAGATCTCCAACAACCAAAACTACCGAATCCATTAGACAAATTTTTGGTGATGGAAGTCATGTCATTCAATTCCAGGTACTTCCTTTCTCTCCAGATATTCGTGTCAAACTTCGTAGCCTCGCGAGATGTTTATGTTGTTAGACTGTCATTGATTGAGTTCTTACCTGAAGATGTGGTCCAATTTCACTAACTAACAAATACATGTATGCATATGTCACTTAATTTTTGTTTCTTGGCTGAGAAGGAACCAGGAAGAGCAGAGAGAGCGTTTGCGAGGTATGACTATATGACAGTGATGAAGAAGTTCCTGCTGGTAACCAATAAAATGATAGCTCCTACAGACATGGAGTTTATCGATTACCTGGAGACACAATCGTCATTGCCGCCATGGCTAACTGAAGAGGATATCCGGGTCTTCGCCGAAAAATTTGAGGAGTCTGGATTCACCGGTCCTTTGAACTACTATCGCGCAATGGACCTGTAAGTGTACAAAAATTCCCCCTTTATTCCCAAATTAAAATTGTTCTTCAAAATATGCATTGGGTACACCCGTCATATGGTTGGAGACATATTTTATTCCAATAGGCAATTGGAACATAATCAAGTTGAGCCTAGAGAACTATAGAATTTTTTTTTATTCGACTTATCTAAACCACGGAAAGAAAGATTCAAAATTGGTTGCAGAGGGAGAACACACTGCTCTAGCCAACTTGCCTACGCCCAAATTTGCAAAGAAAGTCTTTTTCTTTAGTAAAATGGAGCCAGCTCAACTGCCTGCATTATGTTTTAGTCCTTCTGTTATGTTGGCTAATACTTGTGGTCATGATACACAGAACTTGGGAGCTTCTTGCGCCCTGGCAAGGATCGAAAATCATGGTACCCGTGAAGTTCATGGTCGGGGACAAGGATTTCGGGTTTAAATCAGGCGGAACAAGTGAATTTGTGCAAGGTGATGAGTTCAGGAGCCTTGTTCCGGACCTTGAGGTGGTTATTGTAGGCGGCCACCATTTCATTCAACAAGAGAACCCTCAAGAAGTCTCCAGCCAAATACTTTCCTTCCTCCGTCAACATCCTGCAGATGAGTGAAATTTTCGTATAAGTGTGTTTCTGCTTGAATGATAGTTTCTGCATTTTTTATAATTTTTTGTTTTTCTTAAGACATGTACAAGATCTGTTCATAACCTCATGTGATGAACTCTTGATTTCGGGAATTACACTTGGCATGCAAAACCAAAGCTACCAACTGGATTTCTTTTTTTGTAAGGCCCTACTTGTGTGCTACTACGTTATCTGATTAGTAAAACTTTTCACAAATTTAAACGGCATGGATAACATTGATGTGCAGAGCACAAGATTGACATTGACAATGATAATGATGGATAAGTGAAAAGTTTCGTAAACATAAAAAACTACTTGCGATAAAAACTCAACTAGTTAAGAAGCAAAAAATATTGTAATGTAAGCGGAATTCGCATTTCCAATACAATCACAAGGGCACAATGAAAGCACAAACAACCATATAACCAGGCATATACTAAAATACTTTTCTGTAAAAAAAAAGAAACAAGATTCTTATATGTCAGTTTCTACGAGGATATTCAAACTTAAACGTAAGAAGATTGACGCACTATCTGACCAATTGAAACATTTGATACGTTACTTCTTCTGCTCTGTTTCAAACTTCTCATCTTTCACTGTTTGACATCCAAAATTACCAAGTCACCACTTCCCAATCATTTTACTACAAATTATACGGATCCAACTTTGGAACTACATAGCATTTGATGCTACGACTTTTTGTTGAATTATATCTGTAGGTTTCTAAAAAAGTGTAGGAGGTTACCAGTTTTTTATGGGACCCACCATTCGGTGTTTTGTCAAGAAAAATGGAAAACTATTTACATGCTTTGCCAAAAATGCTTTCCATCATTTTGGTCAGCAGGCCACTATTTCAGACCAAGTCCTAAAGTCATGCCAACAAAGCCAAATGGGTGCCACAACCCCTACAGTAGTTGATCTTGCCATTACTATTTTGCCATCACTATTGATAAAGATTTAGGCGGATTAAGGGAGCCTTTTTCTATATCGGATTAGGTCATATAATGGATCGCATTTTTTCAATAATTAGAATTTGGGGAATCTTTCGTATGACTTTGAAAAGTCGACTCTAGCATAGGGCAAAGTAAGCAAGGCCCATTTCCTTATTCGAAGGTTTCCACTCAAATAATGCTGATGTAAAAAGAAAACTTAAAATTGATGAAGAGAGAAACCTTATTCGTTCGTTCTAGCCAATTTTAGAAATTTCAGTACGTTTTCATATACAATAAAAGTTATTGAGGCAGCAGGAACATTTTTCAGAAGATTTGGTGTGATTCCCCTGTAGAAACCTCGAACGCCCTCAAACCTACAAGCCACATCAGGAAAATATGAAAAAAGAGAAGTTAGCATCCATGACAAAACCAAAGGGGGTTTTGCCGAATAAGAGCAACTTAATGCCTTCAATAACTAGTTTTTTTTTTCTTTTTCTTTTCTTTCTTATTTTCATACAATATCTGCACAATGAAGGGTAAATTCCATCCTTACCGTGCAGTCTCCCTTACTACATGCCAGCTATCCATATATCTTGGAATTCCTTCCCTGCTAGGTCGTTGCTGACAAACGAGACATTAGAAATTTCCAATCATTAATAAGAATACAAAAAACTCTGTCGGTTCTCTTTCATTTTTTCACCTCCACCGTGAATCTGCAAAATCTGCAAAAAACCCAAGAAAACCAAACACCACACCAATATTCTAATTTATCCTCCTCACTGCCAATGTTTTTCCATTTACTTTCCGATCCACCTTCTCTTGCTTAGACTGAACTCCATCAGAGGCGCAACTGGATCACAAACTCTCCCTCTCTCTCTGTCTGTTGGGAGGGAATGATTTCATCCAGCACATATGTGTATCCAGGAACAACATGTGCCTGAGTTACATATGTCATCCCATTCAAAGAATCTTTACTGCTGTTCGTCGCAGGAATCTCCTGGCGGACGAGCACACAGCTCCCCTGGGAGAATGGCGTCGGTTGAGGGTCTCTGTCGTACTTCTGCTTTCTTCTCGGACTCGCTCGGGCAAGCCTTTGTCGGGCAGATCTTGGTCGGGCAAGACACACTTCGGGCAAGGCTCGTCGGGCGGTTCTGAAAGAGAAGGACAGAGTTAATTTGAAAGGGTGCCTTTGTGGGGCCTTAGGTGTAGGCCTTAAGGCTCACAATCAAGATTAACTTTGTCGTGCTCAGGCGTGCCACTGCCATCTTTAGCATGGCAGATGTTGAATGGGTGTTAAGCTTTGATTGAATATGTATACGCCCGAGAAACCAAGTTAGATATAACAGGTGCCTTTGTGGGGCCTTAGGTATAGGCCTTGAGGCTTCCTGTCAAACTAAACTAGCACTTGGATGTATCATATTTGGTCTTTTATGGTTGCCAGAGTTTTATTACTATTATACCTTTGATTATCTGAATCCAAGAGGTAGGACGAACCCAAATGAGTGCCTTTGTAGGGCCTTAGGTATAGGCCTTGAGGCTTCCCATCAGAGTTAATCCTTATACTCGGACCAACTAGACCGCAACATGAAATGAAGCTAAATAGATGCCTTCGTGGGGCCTTAGGTGTAGGCCTTGAGGCTTTCTATCAGAATTCACTCCGTGCTTAAGCCTTTTCTACGAATCAAGATATAATAGCAATAAAACGGAGAAATAGATTGATTACTTGCGCCCCAAGTAACTTCGGACTTCTCGCTTATCAAGGATTGTCGTGGATGGGTTGAGTCCACATAGAGTTCTTTTTTATGCCTTGAGGCCAATGACTTTACTGATCTTTAAATTACATGCCCGCGGGCTTAAGACTTAGATCTGATTTGAACTCTGACGCGATTCAGATCGGATTCAAGTGCTGAAGACTCATTTTCATTATGACTTTGCTAGAAATAACTTGTATATAACTGGGAATATATAACATGTTATTGTGCTTTTAAAAGAAAGAAAAGACAAAGACAGAGCAAAGATAGTCGGGTAAGTTTGAACCTTATCGGCCAAGGCTGAACTTCTTACAAAATCTATCTTTGTGGCTCTGTCAGAGGTCTGAAAGCTTTTGGAGGGGTTGAGGGGGGAGAAGAGTATACAAAATGAATCGATACCACCATGAACAAGGTAGCAGAGCTATTACAGGGGTTTGGGAAGGTTTATCCCGAATGGGATGAAGGCTTGTGCTGACTACAGCTTCGTTGAAGGCAAATCTGGCTTGAGCAGAGTTTTGGCTTTTGTTTGTTTCATTGAGTGTCCTTAATTCTGTCTTCTCTTCCTCCTTTTATAGACGCCTTTAGCTTGGGTTCCTGTAGCAATAGCGGTGCCCGAATGCGGTTTGGTGATGACTCACTAGCTTTTTTACATGAATGCCACCAATAAAGTACTTTATTAGGCTATGTATTGACTGAATAGCCTACCCCCTGTGGTCTTTGAGCAGGTAAGCAGGTGGCCTTTGTAACTTGTGCCCAGCCGAAAGCCTCTTTCCTGCCTCCTAAGTTTTCCTCTGGGCCTTGGGTTTGGGCCGACTTTCCCTCTGGCCCAAAGTTCAGATTTTATCCCAAACAGTGCCCCCTTCAATTGATGTTAAGGTTGGGATTCCAAGCGCCAACATTAAATGAATAACAACATGCGTGCCCTTTGAGCTTCTTGCGACCTTTAAACTGCCTTCTGGTTCTCTATAAATTCTGGCTTTGGAAACCCTTTTCAAATCATCACCTCTTCTTCATTTTGGTCTTCACCCTTCATCCACCTTGAATCCTTCCGTCTCCCCACTGAGAAATGGGTTCCTCAGGTTTTGAGTGGAGTTTCCTGAAACTCCCCTTTCGTGAAAAAAAAAAAAAGTTTTCACCTGATGATTGCTACCTCCAACACCCTTGGTCGATCACCCCTCTACCTCCAACACCCTTGGTCAGGCGGTCTCCTCTTGATGTCTGATCTTCCCACAACTTGTGGTGATAAGTTGGGCTTCATCATCATACATGGTGAAGATCTTGTGGGAGGGTCCTCTACCAAGCTCATGTTGGCCGCCCAACCCGATCACCTGATTGGGTTTCAACCAAGAAGATAGCGGGAAACCAGTTGAAGACACCAATACTTTCAGAGAGGATCAAATGTAATACATAAGATTTGGTATCTTGTAATCTCATCAATTTGTCGACATGAAATAAGTATTTTTATCTATTTCTGCATCTCTGCCTTCTTTAAATGTTTGGATGAACAAAATACCGTATGTGAATTTCTGAGGTCCGTCTCACTCTGCTCCCTCTTCGATATAGCAATCCCTAACATCCCATAATGTAGGACAATATTTCTTCAAGAATTTTGCATTAATAGGGTGTTTCTGCTCATTGCCTTCGAGGTCTGCTAGATAATATCCTCCTTTGTTCAAAACCCGACTAATAATAAAAGGGCCTTCCCATGTCGGGCTCCATTTCCCGAAGCCACGCAGCTGAGCGCCTAGCGGGAGGACCGCTTTCCACGCTAAATCTCCCTCCTTGAAAGACTTTAACTTCACCCTTTTGTTATAAGCTCGGGCAACAGCAATCTTTCCTTCTTAAATCTGGTTCAAGGCTTCAATTCGGGCTGCGTCCAGATCATCAATACCTTGACACATGGCTTCAATATATTCTGCACTATGCAACCCAAATTGATTTTGAATTCTTACGGAACTGACGTTGATTTCCATAGGGAGCACTGCATCTTGCCCGAAAGTCAAGGAATAAGGCGTCGTGCCTGTCCCCGCTCTTTTAGAAGTCCGGTATGCCCACAACATGTTCCCTAACATCTCATGCCACCTTTCTGGACTATCAATCACCATTCTTTTAATAATGTTGACCAAGATCTTGTTGCTAGCCTCTGCTTGCCCATTTGACTAAGGGTAGTATGGACTGGATTGGATCATCTTTATTTTGTACTTGCTTGCAAACTCTTCAACCTCCTTTGAAATAAACGATGGCCCACGATCCGTTACTATAGTTTCAGGCACCCCATACCTGTGCAGGATCTTGGTCTCAATAAAATTCTTGACCACGGCTGAAGTTATGGATTTTACTGCCGATGCTTCTACCCATTTGGTGAAGTAATCCGTTGCTACAATTATGAAAGTATGTCCCTTACTAGAGGCCGGATAAATCTGCCCGATGAAGTCCATTGCCCAACCTCCGAACGGCCAAGGCTTGACCACTGGATTGAGAGGTACTGATGGTACGTGCTGGAGAGGTCCATGTCTCTGACATTCTTCACATCCGCGGGCGTAGGATTTACAATCTTTTTCCATGTCGGGCCAGAAATAACCATACCTTCTGAGTAGCCATCTCATCTTTGTTCCCGCTTGATGTGCTCCACATATTCCCTCATGTACTTCGGCCATTACTCTCATGGATTCCTCTAGGCCTAAGCATTTTAATAGCAACCCATCTGAGGTATTTCTCAACAGATTTTTTGTCCACAAGACATACTTGGTTGCTTGTTGCCTGTTCCTCTTACTTGTGGGTGAAGAAGGATCTTTCAGATACTGAGTAATAGGTGTCCTCCAATCTTCCACCTCGGTCTCTAGAACCATTACATCCAGACTGAACCTCCGATCTAAGATAGAGGGAAGGTTTCTTGTTTGGATCTCAACATCAACACCATGTTTCCTTTCTTGCATTGGCACTCCTGAAGCTAGTTGCGCCATTTCATTGGCTGCCAAGTTAGATCCCCTAGGAATGTGATTGACTGATATCTCAGACTCCCACAAACTCAGCAGTTGTGTTGCTGCCATATAGTACCCTGCCATAGTGATGTGTCTGCATTTGAACTCGCCATTTAGTTGATTTATCACTAACTCTGAATCACCAAAGATCTCTACTTCAGTTGCCCCCAAGTCCATCAGGATTTCCAGACCGATAATCAATGCCTCATACTCCGCCCGATTATTGGTATTTTCTTGATAATCAAGTAGGAAGGAATAGTAATGATAAACCCATTGAGGGTTTATAATCACAATTCCAGCTCCTGCTGCCTTCTGAGTGTAGGATCCATCGAAATATAGCTTCCAAGGTGTAATCCAAAGACCTGCTACTCTCCTTATCTCTTGCTGGATCCAATCTTCTTTGCCCGAAACATCACTTCTTGGTGGGATCCATATATTAGCAACTTCTAAACTTCCCGGGATATTGATTTCCTCGCTTTAAGACTCCTGATGTTCGGTCAGGAAGTCAGCAATTGCCTGGCCTTTGACTGCTCTCTGGGGTATGTACTGAAAACTGAATTCTGATAATGCTAGAATCCACTTCCCAATCCTCCCTGCTAGCATAGGTCTTGACAACATGTACTTTATCACATATGTTTTGGCGATAATGTGCACATGACAAGGTAGCATGTAATGCCTTATCTTGCTGGCAGTAAAATATAGAGCCAAACACAGTTTTTCCACCGGAGAATATCTCGTTTCTACCTCGGTCAGAATTTTGCTGAGGTAATACACAGCCTGCTCTTTTCCTCCTTCATTATTCTGGGCTAGTAGACTCCCAATTGATCTTTCCGATGCAGAAATATATAGTTTCAATGGCTTTCCCCTTTGAGGTGGCACCAGTACTGGTGGGGAAGTTAAGTAAGCCTTGATGCTATCAAATGCCTGCTGGTGGGTTGGCCCCCACTCAAAATTCTCCCTATCCTTCAATCTCAGTAGCGGAGTTAGTGGCTGGATTTTGCCCGCCAAATTGGCAATGAATCTCCTTAAGAAGTTGATTTTACCTAGCAATCTCTGAAGCTGTACTTTGTTGGTAGGTGGAAGTGACTCTAATATTGCCCGAGACTTATTTTTGTCCACCTCCACACCTCTCTGATGCACCAAGAATCCCAAGAAATTGCCCGCTCTTACTCCAAACGCGCATTTCTTTGGATTCATCTTCAACTTGTGGATCCGCATCCTCATCAATGCTTGCTTGAGGTCCACGAGATGCTGCTCTTCTGTCTTAGATTTTCACCACAATGTCATCGATATACACCTCCATGCTTTGGCCAATTAAATCATGAAAAATGGCATTCATTGCCCTTTGATATGTGGCGCCTGCATTTTTGAGCCTGAATGGCATGACCAGATATTCATATGCCCCCACATGACCAGGACATCTAAAAGCTGTCTTATGAATATCCTCTGGCGCCATCTTTATTTTATTGTAACCGGCATTTCCATCCATAAACGATAAAACTTTATGCTTTGCTACAGCATCTATGGATAAGTCAGCCATGGGCATGGGATATTCATCCTTTGGTGTGGCGCTATTAATATTCCTATAATCAACACAACACCGTACTGCTTTTGTTATAGCTTTTAAAACGGGTACAATGTTGGCTAGCCACTCTACATATTTGGCTGGTCTAATAAAGCCAGCTTTCACCAGCCTTTCAATTTCTTCTTTGACTTTTTCTTCTATCTCCTTTGACATCCTTCGTGGTGGTGCCTGCTTGACAGGTTTTATATCCTTCCTTGATGGGCATTCTATGTTCCACCAAGGCTGGGTCTAATCCTGGCATCTCGGTGTAATGCCAAGCAAAACAATCTTTGAATTCTTGCAAAAGAGAGATAATCTTGGCCCGATCCTCAATCCTTAATAAACCGCTGATTTGAATTGGTCTCGGATCCTCTTCTGTGCCTAGATCAATAACTTCCAATGGATCCTGGACTTCTGGAGGTGGCTTATCAGGCTCTGCACACAAAAATTCAACTAACTCCGGGTTCTCGGGCAGACCGTCTGTCTCGTCTATATCGTAGACGCATTCGGCCATTTGAATGGCCTTATCTAACTCCTCTGTGCAAGATTCTTCCTCATTTTCCTGCTGGCTGGTAGAAACTTTCCCCTGCCACTCCTGCTCTTCTTTATCCAAGAGCTTTTCTTCCTGTCTTCTTCCCTTTCCATACACCAACAGTCTTTTAATCAGGGATCTGACTGCCATGACCTGATCTTTCTTCTTTTGTTCGATCATTGATGGTATAGAGAGTTTGGTATAAGACAGGGTCTCTCCCACTCCTCCTTGGTAAGGAGCATCTCTTGTTCTAGAAGCTTTCGGGCCGTCACCTTGGTAGGGCGGCCGTTCTCATCAGCTCCTAAACATTTCAAAATTCCCACGTTGGGATTGTAGAAATTTGCTTCTGCAACATTAGCTGAGGGGAGGAACGGCCGTGATTCGGCCTCTACCAACTCCCAAAAGCTTGATCCTTCAGTACTTGCCTCGTGGTATACAGCCACTTGTTGATGAAGAGTAGAAGGTATGGCTAAACTTTGATGAATCCAATCTCTTCCAAGTAGTAGGGCCCCGTAAGTGGAAGTGCAGTCTACTACAAAGAACGCCAACATTATTTTCTTGGACCCCAGATCTACCTCCAAAGGTAATATCCCATGAGTCCTGGTAATGGCACCTGAAAAGCTCGAGACTGTAAGGTTTGTGGGAATAAGATCTTCAGTGCTTCTCCCCATCCTCTTCATCTGCTTGGCTGGCAATATGTTAACAGTCGCTCCTCCATCAATCAAAATTCTTTTGAAAGGTACATCTTCCAGATGAGCTGAAACGTATATAGGCTTCAGGTGGTTGGCCAAAGAAATACTTGGGCGGCTGAACACCATTTTATCTGTGTAAATCCGTAGGGGACCACCTTTAGGTACTTTTGAGGATTCAACCTTGCCTGAGTCTTCCTCTGTAACTACATCCACATTGACGTGAGCCATCATCGGCTCAGTTGTTAAATAATCACCTTCCATGGTAGCGGGCTGGTCAGGCCTGGCGCCAAACATGGCGGATAATACATACGTCATGTTGATGTGGAAGTTGCTGGGTTCGAGCAAGTCCTCCTTCTTGCTCCCAACGTGATCCATGAACTCGTCTAACCAGGCCATTGCATCGGCTGGTAGTAAGGGCTCTGGTATCCCTTCCTGTTGTGGTTGATTTATGTCTCCGTACAGCGCTTGCTTTGGAACTTCACCAAACGGATCCAAAGGCAGAAAGGCTGGTCTCCTCTCAGATGCAACAGTTTCCTCATGGGTGGGCCCTGGCCTCCAACCAGGTGTTGGCATCATAGTCAGATCTTCCTGAGCCCTTCTTAAGATCCTATACTTGCCAGGATGTTGGCTTTGTGGCACATGATTCCCCATACCCTCCGTCTTGCCGTTGGCCCTTTCTACTTCCTTCTTACTTCGCCAACGAAGCTGACTACTACTTCCAGATGTTGCCCTCTCTGGCTTTTGATTTTTTGAGGCTTCAGAGGTGATGGGGGTCATCAGGGAATTCATGTAGGCTTTGTGCTGCCTTTGAACCCTTCTGACCATGGATGCTCCCATTGGTCTGGTGGGCTGCCCATCTTTTCCAACTACATACCATTTCCGCCCACGATATGCAGGAGTTGCTTTCTTAACAGGATTAGCTATCCCATCAGTTCTTCTAACTTCCTTCCCCTTTTGGCCATTTTGAAGCTGCTCTGTATTTCTTTGGAGTTTGGCTTCCATATCCTCTGCCTCGTCAGAAACTTCATAATTTCGAAATACTTCTGACAACGCCTTGGGTTGGGAATCACCTTCTAAACGTTGAAAAACGCTTCGGGAAGTATTTTTTCTTGTTGCCTGCTTAAGCCTTTCGCGGGCTTCTCTTTTAATTAACTCGTGATCAACAAGGACTCCAGCTGGGGGAATCTTGAGTTCACATTTACACTGGCATTTACTACACATAACCAACCCTTTGATTATGGCAGCCTTTGGGTACTCGGATGGTTTGCCTATCCCTTCCGTAGGTCGTTTGGCTAGTTTCCCTTCTTCTTCTTCCCTTATAATTTTCCCTTTTCCTTTCTCTGCCCAGGTCATGTTGAGCATGTTTACCGGGGCTTCAGAAAAGGGCAACACAGGGTTGACTATGACTACCTCATCTGGTTGGGTAGTCATGTGTCTTTCTCCTTTGGGAGGAGCCAAACCTATCTCATTTCTAGAGCCTAGGGAGGCTTCATTCAGTCTCTGTAGCATTTGAAACAATGTATTCTGTAAATCTTCTGGCATGTTTATCTTTATCTTCAGATCAGAGAGTCCCACTGGGCGTGCCAACACTATGTTCGTCGCAGGAATCTCCTGGCGGACGAGCACACAGCTCCCCTGGGAGAATGGCGTCGGTTGAGGGTCTCTGTCGTACTTCTGCTTTCTTCTCGGACTCGCTCGGGCAAGCCTTTGTCGGGCAGATCTTGGTCGGGCAAGACACACTTCGGGCAAGGCTCGTCGGGCGGTTCTGAAAGAGAAGGACAGAGTTAATTTGAAAGGGTGCCTTTGTGGGGCCTTAGGTGTAGGCCTTAAGGCTCACAATCAAGATTAACTTTGTCGTGCTCAGGCGTGCCACTGCCATCTTTAGCATGGCAGATGTTGAATGGGTGTTAAGCTTTGATTGAATATGTGTATACGCCCGAGAAACCAAGTTAGATATAACAGGTGCCTTTGTGGGGCCTTAGGTATAGGCCTTGAGGCTTCCTGTCAAACTAAACTAGCACTTGGATGTATTATATTTGGTCTTTTATGGTTGCCAGAGTTTTATTACTATTATACCTTTGATTATCTGAATCCAAGAGGTAGGACGAACCCAAATGAGTGCCTTTGTAGGGCCTTAGGTATAGGCCTTGAGGCTTCCCATCAGAGTTAATCCTTATACTCGGACCAACTAGACCGCAACATGAAATGAAGCTAAATAGATGCCTTCGTGGGGCCTTAGGTGTAGGCCTTGAGGCTTTCTATCAGAATTCACTCCATGCTTAAGCCTTTTCTACGAATCAAGATATAATAGCAATAAAACGGAGAAATAGATTGATTACTTGCGCCCCAAGTAACTTCGGACTTCTCGCTTATCAAGGATTGTCGTGGATGGGTTGAGTCCACATAGAGTTCTTTTTTATGCCTTGAGGCCAAGGACTTTACTGATCTTTAAATTACATGCCCGCGGGCTTAAGACTTAGATCTGATTTGAACTCTGACGCGATTCAGATCGGATTCAAGTGCTGAAGACTCATTTTCATTATGACTTTGCTAGAAATAACTTGTATATAACTGGGAATATATAACATGTTTATTGTGCTTTTAAAAGAAAGAAAAAGACAAAGACAGAGCAAAGATAGTCGGGTAAGTTTGAACCTTATCGGCCAAGGCTGAACTTCTTACAAAATCTATCTTTGTGGCTCTGTCAGAGGTCTGAAAGCTTTTAGAGGGGTTGAGGGGGGAGAAGAGTATACAAAATGAATCGATACCACCATGAACAAGGTAGCAGAGCTATTACAGGGGTTTGGGAAGGTTTATCCCGAATGGGATGAAGGCTTGTGCTGACTACAGCTTCGTTGAAGGCAAATCTGGCTTGAGCAGAGTTTTGGCTTTTGTTTGTTTCATTGAGTGTCCTTAATTCTGTCTTCTCTTCCTCCTTTTATAGACGCCTTTAGCTTGGGTTCCTGTAGCAATAGCGGTGCCCGAATGCGGTTTGGTGATGACTCACTAGCTTTTTTACATGAATGCCACCAATAAAGTACTTTATTGGGCTATGTATTGACTGAATAGCCTACCCCCTGTGGTCTTTGAGCAGGTAAGCAGGTGGCCTTTGTAACTTGTGCCCAGCCGAAAGCCTCTTTCCTGCCTCCTAAGTTTTCCTCTGGGCCTTGGGTTTGGGCCGACTTTCTCTCTGGCCCAAAGTTCAGATTTTATCCCAAACAACTGCTTGTTTGATGAGCTGTATGATATGCCATGTTGAAATCTTTACTGCCATCAAATGATTGACTCTACAAGAGTCCAGGCTTTGTCGGAGGAATTGCCACCGCTGCCGCCGTGGGATTGATCAGCCAGGTCGTCGTACGCGACGACAAAATCCAGGCCATTTAAGCCGCCGAAGACCTCGCTGTAG